TTTATGGTGTTTTGGATATAGTCTAGCTAATTTTATTTTTCCTTTTATTTGTTTTTATCACTTTATTAAATTTAGCCTGATGAAATGTGTCATGTAAAAAAAATTTCCCACTTTATTTTAGATTTTCCTAAAATTGTTCTTGATATATAAAAATTTATAGATTGTTTTCCCCATATATAATTAATGATGTATATACCTTATTAACAAATATAAATAATTATAAAGATTGAATTTTATATTAAATCAGATAAGAGAGACTCATCAAATATTAGACACATATGTGACTAATGGGCTGCACCTTGCCTACCCTCTGGTACATTATAGGGTGTACCAATAGTGTATCAATACTATATAAATAAATAAACTGCTCAACTCATAAAAAATGGATTTTTTTTTTATTTTCTTTTTTTTCTTTTTTTTTTTTTTTTATGGGAAATAACTTTGTAGATTATTATTCTTTAAAACTTCTTTAGACTGTTATACTTGTCAGAATAAATAAGGAGGGGGGGGTCTGTTCATAATAACAATACAGTGTCAAATCAATCCCTGACAGAGTTATTGGCCTTAGATGATTTGCATATGAAAACACATTTTTAAGGTGGGGTTACAAAAAGATTTTTCTTAAATAACAAACAGGTATATACATTTTTCAATTAAAGAACAAAAATTTACATAAATTAATAATTAGGTATCTTTTTATCCTTATTTTAAAATAAATAATTATGAACCTCAAATGTTTGTACATCTTAAAAAAAAAAACATTCCATACAACAAAAACTGTTTAAAAAGTTAAAATAAACTTAAAAATTAAAAAAAATAAAAAATATGCAGCTATCAATGATGTTAGCACATTTTCAAACTTGACCTTTGTAAATAAGTTAAGCAAATTCTTCTAAGGTCAATAATTCTGTGAATAATCGATTTGACATTGTATTGATATTATAAACATGACCCCCTTCTAACAAATCAATATTTTCTATTCTGACAAGTGTCACAGCTAAAGTAAAGTCTAATAAATGCTAATGTACAAAAATTATTTCCTAAAAAAACAAAAATTTCACTTGTGTTTTTTTTTGTGGAGCAGTCTATTTAAGTAGTGCCTAACATGGCAATTATCCGTATGGAAATTGGGATGGGTGTGTCTTCAAATTCCAATCTAGGTTATTGTGTGCACTTTCACACACTTAGGGAAAGGTGTGAATCCATCACTTCTCTGTCCCTCAGCTATGGGTTAATAGGCAGATGAGTTCTCTAGCCATAATTGGTAACCAAAGAGAAAAACAATTCTGAATCCAAAATTGTTTGGGTGCAGAGCTAGCAAAAAGAATCTACTTGCTACAGAAACTACATTGTCAACACTTTGCGTAGTGAGGCTGACACCTTATATTTTAACAGAAGTATACAGGGTTAATGCCCATGCTGGTATATTTGTTTATATATGCTAAAGACTTCAGATTGTTAATTTCAACAAATAATCAAAGGTCTATTTTTACTTTTAATGTAATCATACTTATTATAAAACCCAGGTTGTGTGTGTGTGTCTGTACGTTTATATATTGGATCGGATTTCCTACATTTTTCAATCGATTTCAACAAAACTTCACAGGACTACGTAAAATTACCTTGCAGTGGTTCTGACAGCTCCAAAGATTGGAAAAACACAATTGTTTTTGCACGAAATCAATTTGTAAACACGATTAAGAGGCATCACGAGAATGAAAGGGGGACAACTCATATCGAGTTTTACTTATTATAAAACCCAGGTTGTTTGTGTGTGTTCGTTTATATATAGAATCGGATTTCCTACATTTTTCAACCGATTTCAACAAAACTTCACTTTTTTTGGCAGGTAGTGTTTCTTATTGTCTTGCACACTTTTTTCTTTATTTTTACATTCAGAATGCTTTAAAAATTCCATTTACAAGACAATTGTCTATAATAAAATTCTATTCAATCGGTAGACTCATAACGATTGAAAACAATGTTTTTGTTTGGGTTTGACCAAAAAAAAAAAACTAATTAAGACATGCGTGTCCGTCAACCTTAAACAATAATCTTTGTCAATTTTATTTTTCAGTCTTTATGATGGTCGATACTTGATCTATCTCTAACTGTTACATCCCTGGGCAATGCCAGGCTCTACTGCTAGTGCTGACTAAAATGTGCAAATAGCTTCTTTTTCTTTTCCTTTACTTATTTACAAACTTGTAATTGCTATGATCTTGAGTTTTTAATCATTTCACTCTAAGCAAGGCAATAAAGCCACTAAGATGCAAGGGATTACTGAGTGTTAGAGAATGAAAAAAAAAACACTATTAAGGAGAGAGAACATTAAAAGAACAAGAATTAAGATAACGATTGACATTGCACTTAAATTTTTGAAGATCAAAGTTGTCTGGGAAGCAAGAAGCTGCAAGAGTTCCATACACAAAAAGTGTGGTAAAATTATGAGACTTGCTGCCAATCTAGTACTGAGCTTAAATTAATAAAGTCTAGGTACCATAGAGGAAATGGTTTATCTTCATTGTGTTGTAAACCAGATTCTCCAGTTTTGAATTAATAAAATTTAATACATTTCTTCTTTCTTTCATTATTTATTTTTTAGCCACAATATAAAATTGCTGACCCAATTTGTACTTTCCTCTTTTCCTTCTTTGTGATTCTGTCAACGGCTTCAATTCTCAAGGAAATTATTAACGTTCTTATGGAAGGTAAGATATTCTCATTGAAACTAGATTATAATGTGCCAGATATTGATTAATTTTCTCTTTCTCTCTCTCTACCCTGATTAGTCTCTTAATCTGGGAATTTATATTCTTAATCAGAAATGTATGAAAAAAAAAAAAAAAGCCTTTTCTTTATTGATCTTATACTAAAAACATTTTGTACTGTGTTTTAAAAGAAAAAAAAGCTAACATATTACGCAAGGTTTTAGATTTATACATTTATTTAATTTAATTTTAAATTTATTTTTTTAAAAAATTACCTTCCTCCCCCACACAAGTAATTAAGTTTGTAACATAAGAGTGACTTTTTGCTTTTTTTTTTTTTTTTTTTTTAAATCTTTTCATATACTGTCAGAATGGTACCCTCTTAATATTTTAAGAGCATTTTGTTTTGTATTGAATATTGAATAATTCAGGTATTGAAAGAGCTTAAAAGTATTTTCAATGTATTTCTTCTCTTTATATAAATACTTAGGGATGTAAATTTTGGGGTGCACTTAAGTAGAATCTGATGATTTTTATACTAAAAAAAAAAAACCAATTTGGGAAGGGAAAAAGGGATGGGGGGAATCAGTCAGTTCTTGATGCCTGAGGTGTCCCAAAAAAGAGAAAGTCTTATTAAACATTTTCTGGCATCATCTCTATGCATGTGGTGCATATGGAACTTTTTTTTTTCTTTTTTTTTAAACAGTAATGTCCAAAGCAGGTATCCACATAGAGGCTGCGATTGCTAAACCTCTGATCACAAAGTTGAATACCAAGTTGTGAAAAAATGGTGTGATGATCACAGAAACTGGGCACTCAAGGAATAGAAAAACTTTATTTGGTCTGATTAGTCTACTTTCATGTTATTTCCTTCAAACGGGCATGTTTATGTATGGAGAACACTGCATGAAGCCTATGATCCGGATTACATAGTACCAACAGCATATAATTTTTGTGGAGAAAAGGGGTGATATAATACAAACAATACATTAGGAAGTTAATTCCATAAATGTAATGGAAGGCATTCAGTAGAATGGAAGTGTTTTGATACATTATGACTTTCTTCATACATAAATAATGTCCCAATCACTACTTAAATTAACTGACTCACTCATTATAGAACGCTCGCATAAATGCTTCCCTTAATTCTACAACCTAAACCTCTTCAAATCTAGGGTTGGTTTTTATTTCTTCACATTCTCATAATCTTTACTTCCTACTCCTGTTCATGTCATCAGTTAAGTAATATTGAGCTTGGTCAGCACCTAGATGGGTGACCACTTGGGAAAACTGGGTGCTGTAAGCTTGGATATGCTGGTGATGTAATGGATAATGGCTTGAGATTGGAGAGCCGAGTTCTAAATCCAGTCAAATTCATTATATTCAATTATGCACATATAACTTTGGGAAAGGGGGCACCTTGAGGTGGTGTAATGGTTAGCAAACTTGTTTCACTAGAACAATTACAACTGAGTAGTGAGTTCAATCCTCACTGGGTACCCCTTAATTTCGGCCTTGTGCCACATCTAAGCTACGCTTGGAAAATCACTATAACTTTGGAAAAGGTATAAATCCATCTCTTCTCCCCCAGCTATATGTTAATTAGTAGGACTTGTATAAGTAAATCATTATTATCTCCAAAAAATTCTTGGAATATATAAAGATTCTCTGGCTTTAAATAATCAAAAAAAGGTTAAGTCATAAAAAACAAATCAACGAAGAAACTGTCCCAGGTGAGATTTCAAATTGGAGGATATTGATTGTTGTCTGACCTGTAGAAGGATGGGTTATGTCAGGTCTACTTTGCCCAAGACAGGGATAAATGAATGAATACCTATTGATACAGATGTGGAAGGAAGCTGGCAGGTGTGAGACTGCACACTGACCCAATGATTTCCACCTGGTCATGGGTTTGATGATGCTCTCATATTTGAGGATGGCTTGTCTGACTAATAGAACCTGTGGTGTCTGCTTCTAGTAGTGGCATCAAGGACACTGGCTATAACTTCCCGTACCATTGGTCCTTATTCTCCAAAACATATCCAACATCTCTTCTTTGTATAGTTGCTTTTGTTAACATTTAAGTTTATCCATTCTTCTATTCTCACCAGGTGTAATTTATGGGAAGAATAAAAGAAAACATTAAATTTTAAATTTTGTGCCTGCAAAAAAAAACAGTTTGCCAAAAGATGGTTTTTCCCTTGACACCGCTATTATTTTGTACTATCTTCACTCGCTTGGTAATGTTTATTTATAAGATTATAAAAATATGTGAACCAAGTACAATGTGATGTTTATTATTTATCTTTCAAAGATTTATTATCTACTATTTTATAAGAAAATCTTTTTATTCAAAATACATTTTTTCAAAATTAGTTACTTGTCATTATCTGTTTATTTAAATTTTCATGCTTGGCATTTTCTATAAATTTATGTATAAAAAAAATGTTTTCATATTTATTTCTTTATAAATTGATAAATGATAAACATTGCATTGTTCACATTTTTAAAATGTTGTAAATATAAAATTATTCTTGTAAATAAACAATCTAATAAATAAATAGTGTTTAATATTTTTGTTGTAAATTCTCAAGGACAAAAAAAAATGTATAAATTCACTTTTCATGTTTGGGTTTTATTAAAATTCAACTCCTCATTTTTGAAAACAACTAACATTGCCAAGGAATTGAACGTAGTTAAAATAATAGCAGTGTCAAAGGTGGGTAAAAAAAACAATCTGAAAGTCAAAGATTGCCAGAAACATCTTTACTCAAGAAAAAGTAAAGCTCATTCTCTATAAGTTTAACAATGTGCCAAAGGTTTATTTTATTATTATTCCATAATTAGACATTCTAAACATGGAGCTATTTTAACTGTCTACACATTCTGTATAAATTTTCTTCTTTCCATAATGGTTACAGAAAATGAAAACAAAATTGTTCTTTATGATTTTTTTCCTCTCTCTCTAGGTGTGCCTTCTAATATAAAATTTTCCGAAGTAAAAGAAAAATTATTGACAGTGCCAAACGTCAGAGATGTGCATAACTTGCGACTTTGGTCACTTACAACGAGTAAATTTGCTTTAGCAGTACATTTGGCAATTGGTAAGTTAAAAAAAAAAAAAAGTAAAAATTTAAAGTGTTACTAGGTTACTTGATAAGTAAAAAAAAAAAAAAAAAAAAAAAAAATAGTTTTATCTCTCTCTCTCTCTACTTGTATAAAAAATGTATTTTGTTTTTAATCTGACATTATTTCTTATTACTATAAACATTTTTGGTGGTTACACATGTTTCAGTTAATATTCCTGTTTACACTTTCTTGAACAATGGGCAGTTGGTATTAATTCAACTGTTTAAGAAAATATAAATATAATTATAGTATTTTTAATATTTTCTAACTAATGTTTACATTTTAATTCCTCCCCACCTTTTTATATATATATATATTATTTATTAACTATTATAACAAAAACATGTTAGAAACCAACACAGAAATGCAAGTATGTTTCAGCACTATAGGTTCTTCAAGTGGTGGTGGTTTTAAGTTAGTGTATAGCACTTTCTTAATAACCTTTCCTTTCATCTTGATAGTTTATATTTTGTGTTCTTTTGAGGTGAAAGAATAATAAAAAGATTAACATCTAAGTTTGATTTTAAATAATTTGTGCAGTCAATAGGAATCCAATATGGAAATTAACTTCGATCATAGTTCTGACATTTGATTGGTTAAACTAGGTTACCCCCCGCCCCAGCATGTTAGAAATTTAGTTTTTTTCCCCCTTCCTGTGACGGTATTACTACTCTAAAACCATAAAATGATCATTTATTCTCCAGTTAACCACCACTGCCTGAAGAAGCACCTACTATGCTGAAGCATGATTACATTTATGTAGCAGTTTATAACATGATTTTGTTATAATAGTTAATAAATATTATTAAGCTCTACTCTGTATTGAGCACTTTTTAAAAAAATGTTTGGACATTGGAATTACCTACCTTACACTTGGGAAGGTAGGTATATATATATATATATATATATATATATATATATATATGTTTTTGTTGAAGCAGAACTGGGATTAATCTTGCACAAAGCAATATGGGTCTTGCCTGACCGGATTTGTCATTGATTTGTGACCTGGTTTCTTTAAAGCTGGATGCTCTCCCTGATGTCCAACTTGGACACCCACAGTAACCCAAGTGCACAGTGTTTTTATCATGACACCTTCTCTAGGAAGATTGCCATTCAAGGCTTGTGATTGCATCCTAGCCATATAATATATATATATATATATATATATATACACACACACACACATATATTGGCTATTGGCTCCTATAAAAATAACTCATCTGTCCTATTATATATAAAATGGGATTTTTTTCATTGTTTCATTCAATTACACTCCATTAGTTTGATATAATCTATATATCATGTTCTTCAAGTATTTTCCGTTTAATTTTTACAAGATATGAGATTACTCTTCATAATTTTTTTCATTACTTATCTTTATAAAGAGATTACTTACTATTTTTGTTGCTCTTAAACCATAAATTTGTCATATGCTTTTGTCTGGTAAGAATTTACTACTGTATTCTCTACTTGTCTCCTGCATATGAATAAGTGTATTCTGTTGTTTGCAGATAAGGATTCCAATGCAATCCAAATAATAAAAGATGCTTCTAAGGCAGTGACTGAAGAATTTGGATTGATGGAAGTGACAGTTCAAGTTGAAGAATATGAAGACACTATGGAAGATTGCAAACAGTGCCAAGACCCAAAGGATTAGAAAATATCTCCTCCCAAAAAATGTTATTTTCATCCCACTTTTTTCTTCTTTTTTTTTTTTCCTTTCTTTTTCTTTTTTTTTCTTCTTTTTCTTTTTTTTCCCCTCCCCCTATCCCACTTGTAATTCATAAATTATTTTTGAGCTATTTTTTTGCTTTACCTCATATTTTGAACATACAAATATTATTTTCATAGCATCCCCCCCCAATATTGTTTGTAAAATATTAAAATGGATAAATTTCGATAAGAGCAGAAAACCTATTAAAAGAATTTTGCTCAAAATTATTCAAAACTTTCAAAGACCTGCGCATCTTATTCGTCTTCTCTGTTTGATAACGGTAAAATTGTCTTTGAAAGTTTGCATTTATTTTTACTTTTTGCTTGACTGTGGATTACTAGGCACAAGGTCCCAGGAGGTAGATGGCTTGAATAAAACAGATGACTAAATGAAAGAAGCCTGATTATTTAAAATACTGATGCAATCTGATCACAATATTTTGACAAGTACACTTCAGGTTACACTGAGCAATCTGATCACTATAATTAAACTATTATTATTTTATCTACTGTTAATTGTAAATAAGTTGAATATTAATTGCTTACTGAAGGTTGATGAGCACTTTGACGTGATGTAAAGTTTAGCAAACTTGTCTTGCTAGATCAATTACAACTGAGTAGTGAATTTGATCCTCACTGGGTGCTCCATACTTTCAGCCTTAATGATAAGGAAACTTCTCACTAAATCAATTATGACTGAATGGTGACTTCAATCTTCGCTGGATGCTCCATACTTTTGGCCTTGTGCCACATATAAGCTCTGCTTAATAAACTGCCTTATTGAAGGCAGATTTAGCACAATAATGAGTGAAGTTATCTTTATTATAAACAACATTATCAGTTGTTATTGTTAGGTTTTCTTTGAATTCATTTTCCATCACCATAATTATCTATCAATTCTATTTAGTCAAATATTTTATTCAAGTTGTGGTCTTTCTTCAGGACCATGTAACCAGTAAACAGTAGGCAAGGGTTTTTTGCCCCCCCCCCCTTTAAGTTTTCTGCTCTTGTAAAAAATTATCAATACAGTTGAATGAATTTTAGGTATCTACAATATAATACATACCATTTTAAAAAAATTACAAATATTTTTATATGTTTCAATGGAACATTAACTTATCTGCTGTATATTTCTCACATTCTGAATACAAGAGGTGTTCGTGTTGGTGTGTTAATTTTGCTGTTTGTCAAATAGAACTTTATCAATATCAAATGAATTAGTCATTATTCCAACCAAAATAATTAAAGTTCAATTAAATAATAATAATAATAATAATCAACCAAAATAATAATTAAAGTTCAATACCCAATTCATATAGTACTACAATATGTCTTCAATAATTTTAATGTAGTTAATTTTCTTAATACTATTGTAGGACAAGTACCAACTAGATATTAAGCTCATAGGGGTTGGGTATTTAATAGAAAGAAATCTAATTTTAGTACAGGAGTCACAGTCTCTTCTGATTACTTTTAGGAAATTAATTGTGGACTATGATTTCTCCTTGGATTGTAAAAAGTCAATGCAATGATTAGTTGCAGAAGTAAACTTAATTTGTTTACATAGGCTTATTTATTTGAATTAAAAAAAAATGTTTGTAATTTGTTACCTAATAAATTGTTTTGTGCATTAATATATAAAAACACAAAAATGTTTAAATTCAAGTGCACAAAATAAGTATATGTAGAATTAAATTCTTTGCAGATGAAAGCAATTTTTACAAATGATTTCATTAGTTGCCTTTATTTAGGACGAGAAAAACTTTTTTTTTTTTTTTTTTTTTTTAAACCTCCAATTCTATTTTTATTTACCTCCAGCTCCATCATCAAAATAAGTGAGTTGCAATTGATTAAATAAAACAATATCTATATTGCTTTGTGTGTGTTTGGATATCACTTCCACGATCACAAGACCTCGATAACATAGGCTATGTGAAGTTGATCTTAGAGGTCATTAAATAGCACAGCATGCTATTTCTTGTTTAAAAAGAAATTTCTAGCAAAATGGAGTGAAGAATTGAATTTGCTATAAAGTGCAAAAATTTATTTTTGTTTTCATGAATGTAGATCTGGTCAAAATTGATCTTTGAGGTGACCAAAGGTCATTGGCAGTCAAATTAGTTTGATCTTCTGTCATCTGTAATACAGCCAAGCAATTACATACTTAGAGGTAAATTGGTAAGTGAGTATAATTTGGGCAGAAACAGATCATAGGGTAGGAGGTGCTGACTTACAAAATCAGTAGAGGTCAGTTTAGAATTGTTTATTTTTTATATTTTTTGTTTAAGCAGAATGGTAGAGCTTAAAGGGAATAGAAACTTTTTTTTTGTGAAACATTGTGCAACCTTGAGAAGCGGTTTCAGACAATTTCTAAATTTTTTCTTGCATTTATATTAATGTTTTTTTTTTTTTTTTTTTTTTTTCTTAAATCATGGCAGAATTGTGTATCCATACTCAAATTATATTATTTCATATAAACAAAGATTGTTTCAATGCTAGTTCTGCTTTTATATGGATTAAACTGTTCATTAACAGAGAATCAAATCTTCTTCATCTTAGAGCAAAAATTTATTAATCATACTTTTAAAATTTTAAATTCCCAAAAATGTTTGTCCCCCCCCCACACTTTTTTTTTTTTTTAAATCTTTCTAGAAAACTAATAATTTAAGTTCATTTAGGGGTCGAGTTTTAAAAACCTTTCAGTTAGTCTGACTCTTAAACAAAAATACCATTGAATCTGTCTTACCAGTTGCAGGTAGATATATTTTTTAAACTTCCATTTGTATCTTCACTGATAAGTTTGATAAATTATCTAGCTCTCTCTCATATATATATATATATATATATATATATATATATATATATCTGACACTTTGGTAGATAACATATTATGTTGCATCATGTTTGTTTAACCCTTGAAAATGAAACTTGGTTTTCTTTTATTTTTACTTGTTTTCTTCTATGTAATAAATGCAAATGTCAGTGTGTTACTGTTTCCCTTTTTACAATTAAAGGGACACAATTCTTTAACTTTCAATAGCTCATGTTACAGAAATCTTGTATTCACAAGTTTTCGTTACTGCAATATATTTTTCTTTTTTAATGTGATTTTGCAACAATTTTTTTTTTTTTTTTTGTAGAGTAACAATTTTTTATAACTTGGAAATAATTGAAATTAATTTTGAAAATCACCCATGAAATAAAAATGTCTGTACAGAAAGTAAGGACCTACGCACATCAAATTGTCTTTAAATTAAGCAGCAGCAGAAGAATTATCATTGAATGTTTAAGAGGTAACCTTAATATTAATGCAATATTTAAATGCAGCGATCAATTTTGAGTTTGTTGTTGACTATTGCAACAGCAGTGGTATGCCTTGCAAAAAGAAATCTCTGCTAATAGAGGAACAGATTGCAATCAAGGGGTTGCAGCAAGGGAAAAAAAAATACCATGCAAATGAAAACCCAGGTCAAATGGCAGCTAAGAGAACTTCCAATGCTGAGAATATGCAAAGACTTAGGGATTCTCAAAGTTATGGACAAGAGCCCTCTGCAGGAGCTAGCTTAAATACTGCCTGATAGGGTGGCTTTTAAGCAAGTTTCTAATATTCAGCAAATAATTTTGTTTAATTTTTTTCTTTTATCTTTTTAATTTCTATTTTTTAACCAGTCTATTTAAATTCAATTTTAACATTCAATATATAACTCAAGATGAGACTTCAATACTAAATCTTTACTATAGAAGTTTATTATGTAATGACCACTTATAATATTTTGGTTGTTATCAGGCAAGTGTTTGTTGTTGTTTTGGTTTTTTTTTTGGTTTTTTTATCTGGCATTCCATGTTGCATTACCATTTACCTGTTATTATGGTATTAGGAGAAGCATCAGAAAAACTCTAACATCTTAAGACACAAAGATGACTGACTTTTGCTATTCTGCATATTTGTTTTGTGACGCACTGTAACACTCTGTAATATACAATATCTTAATAATAATAGTGGTTTAAAAACAAAATGAAACAATGTAACAAAAATTTTAAATACTTGTCAAAAGATTTTACTGTTTCATTCCATCCCATGATTCCCCACCCTCAACCACTCTCAAAGACATTTTTTTATACCTTCCTCAGGAAAGCCGCAACACAAATAAAGGTAATTCAAAGCAAAACAATAATTGAAGACGATATAAACTTAGATGATGTGAGATTATTATTAAACTACTTTTATAAAGCTGTCTTCAGCAAATGTGTCAGTTCCACATCGTCCGTTTTGCATTATATTTGAAATCTTTGCAGTCCTTAATTTACGCTTTTCAGGCTTATTTCTGAATTTTTCTTTCTCAACCCTTAAAGTAGAATTTTGTTTAATGGTGCCTCAACAATTGAATTATTTTACATCTACTCAGTGTTGTTCTGTTAGTATTCATTTATTTTTTTTTCTTTTTCCAATCATTTCAAATAATTGACAGTTTTTTTTCTTTTTCCAATCATTTCAAATAATTGACAGTTTTTTTTCTTTTTCCAATCATTTCAAATAATTGACAGTTTTTTTTCTTTTTCCAATCATTTCAAATAATTGACAGTTTTTTTTCTTTTTCCAATCATTTCAAATAATTGACAGTTTTTTTTCTTTTTCCAATCATTTCAAATAATTGACAGTTTTTCTAAATTTTGAGATTTTTGTTTATAGCTACAATTTAGTTTCACATAATCATAATGTTGGGAAATTTATAAGCATGTGCACACCTATATATGCACCTTATTTTAGATCTTAAAAATTCCTATTTCTTTCAGGAAATGAAATAAGGAGCTAAATTGTCTGACAGTACTCTTAAGATTTGAAGCAGCATATTATTTGTTGCATGTGTGCATAACTTTCACATTTAATCGTGATTTTCTTTCTCGTTAACTATGTGATTACTGTGGGTTTCAACTTTGGGGTTT